CCAGTAGTTGGAAATTCCGAATTGATATTTGAGGGTGAATCCAACTGCTTATTTGTTGCCGGTTTAGGTTACTCCGCCCACTGTGACGCACGCTCCGCCCACTTTTACGTTTTATAGAATTTTTTTTAAACGAACATACATACATTTGCTAAAGCTTATAATGCCCTGTAATTAACCCATTTTTTAAAAATACTACTTTTTTAGTTTAAAATACGTTTTCTTCTTGATTTTCGCAATTTAAATCACGCCCCAGTAGCAGTAAAGCGAAGAGACATGGTTTGCTTATTTGAAGCTACAACCTCAAAATGAACAAAGTGTTGGGGCTAGCCTATAACGATCCCCACCTAGACTGACCAAGTACGATACCCAGTCTCCAGCAAGTGACTCAGAGAACCATCTTCATCCCTAATCCAGGTTTCACCTCGTCCTTCGTTTATCCTGTGCAGAACTATAGCTGAACTCACCCGAAACTGTCACTTGGGTGGAGGGGGGAGAAGGTGGGCGAAATTTTATGTTTTACCTTTCCCGAAGAAAGCTCATAAAGCTTCCCAAAGTTCCATGGACCCTTACTGACTCCTGCACTCTCTTCCAAAAGTGTGCTGCTAACCATAAGTCTACTCGACTACCCACGAATCTTCGACGTTGGTTCACTATGACGTACCCTTCTTTGGGACGAATCCTCATCTGTGTAGCGCAATGTCAAGATGCGCAAGCACTGTCCCAAGGACCGGTCCTCATCATAAGTTGACTAACTATTGTGTACGTCTTCCTCTCTTCCAGTATTTCCATGTGGGGTTATTCCAACGGAGATAAAATAATTTAATTGAGTCCGCCCACACCCACAAGTCAGTATCATCAAGTTTCTCACGCTCAGTGTCTTCAATATTCTTTTTTCAAATATCCTTCCGAATCTTCCGAATGTCTTTACAATTCCAACTGTAATTTGTAAACGTCGCAGAAGAAATGACCAGCTAAAAGGAACAAATGTTGATTATACTCACAAATTCAGGTTAGCGGTTACATTGATGCAAGCCATATCTATGGTTCTACTCAGGAAATCGTGGACAAGATGCGCTCATTCAAAGATGGTAATTTTTCAGCTAAGATTTTTTTATACCCAAGCGTCTCAAAATCTCGAGGACTGTGGGTTCGTGTGGGTCAAGAGATCCTCCTTGCAGAGCAGCGTCGGCGTTGCGCGTCACGGCACACCTACAGCGGAAATTACATTTTCCGAACCAACTCTTGTATGAGTGATGGGTGGAAATTTGTTGAAAGGCGAGTCTCTTTATCCTCGCGTTTTCCTTGGCTCTTCTCCCATTAGATTTTTTCTACAAAACTTTTTATTGTGGCGGATTCTCTAATTATCTTATGTATTACTGTAACGCCAATAGCCCTTTTAAGATTTCTTAATTCTGAGTTACGAAATAAATGGACTGGACCTGCGCGGTCATTACCTCGTTGCTTTGTTGGCTTTGCTAGGGTAGGACGAGCCAGCTAGATAGAAAGTCATACAACACTTGACTCTTCAACCTATTACACTTAGCGGAAAATTCTTGCACTCTTTCCTAACATGAATATGTCAGTTGTGATCACTGGAAATAGCACACAAAGTTTCACGCATGAAGATTCGGTTTCTGAAGAGAAACAAACGTACAAAAACTACACGTTATGGACCATCGAAGGACCAGGAGGCAGAGCCAGGCGAGGCATGGAAAGAAGACGGCGTTTGGCCGGCTACGTACCAGGCGACGCAATGAGAGAATCGGGTTAAAGCGCGCGATTTCGGAGAGTGGAGACAAATCGATCGATGGAATAGGATGGAGTAGAAGTGTAAGATGTGAATGCAACGAAGCAGAAGGCCAGAAAGAGCTTCTAGTGAATGCACTCCAAGAACCAAGTTTGAGCATCCCCGTCGCCAGCATTCGTGAAAGACGTCCGTGGGCAATTCGAACGCGTAGCAGCCTTTTCGAGTTTTCGAATTTCTAATCAAAACGAAAGCAATACTTCAGTTCTTTTCACTATTATCGTGGATAATGAGTCTCAAGCCAGTGATTTATGGCTGAAATAGAATCATGATTTTTCCGCGCAAGATTCCTTTAAATTCGCTGACATGGAAGATAGCCTCACACTTCAGGGCTACTCAGCTTACGGATCTTGTCAGCGTCTCATGGAGGTCTCCCTCAAGATGACACCGATGAGGACTGCAAAAACCGATCTCCTACCTCTCAACCATGCTTTTTAGCTGGAAGCTCACGGTATGGGCATATCGTATACTTTGGAGTCGATCATAGTGAGTTATTGGATAAAGCATTCGTTCAGAATTAATTTCTTGCCGTCAAATGCCGTTATGTATACGATATGGATGAGACAACACAATTTCATAGCCGGAAAGTTGAAGGTGAGTATGAAGTGAACAAAATGGACCGTAAAAGCATAAAAAAGTATAAAGCGCGTTTGCCGTTGACGCAGCTCTTTGACATGCGGAAAACAAAAAAAAAAAAAAAACGCATTCTACTTCCATTTGTACATTCGTAGTGGCGTTTGAATGCGATGTGGCCTATACAATGACTTGCGGGGGCCAGCCGATGTTCAAGTCAGTGTTTTTATCCTCCCAGACAAGTCTGGTACCAATTAACCGACCCCGGAGGGATGGAAGGCTTGGTTGGCCCGGGCGACTCACGACCCAGGATTTGATCCCGGACCGCTCGCGTGGTAAGCGTGCCACTTGCCACTACACCACTTCCGCCCAAATGAGTGTAGAGCAAAAAAGTGATTGTGAACGAGCGAGTATCAAAGACTTGCAGAAAATATTGTGGGTTAATCCATCCATTGTTCTGCCTCTGCAGCTTCCCCTCGTTATTTGCCAAAGAGGGTACAGTAAGAGAAATGGAGCCTGTCACTGAGAGCTTGAAAGGATCCTCATCTGAAATTGTACTCCTCGTACTGAGTTAGAGCTCATTGGGTTTTCGTCTAGTCATGGGAAAAAAACTTCTAAGGCAAATTCTGGGGTCATGCTGATGTTTGTTGCGTCGTAAGGACCTTGAAGAGATATGTGTAACGCCGGTAATGAAGAGCTGGGAAGAAACCCTCAAAAAGGACGAAAATGAAGCTTTCCCAGTGGTAGTGGAGCGAACTAGCATTGATTTTAGGCGGGGTAAATGATTATGGGAGAACTCCATGGTGAATCTCTGGGCCATAGCGCCTCAGCTTTGTTGAGTGGTGGTGCCAAGTGGGTTCATGCTCTACGCTGCTTTCTACTCCCTATTTCTAGCGCAAGGGCTTCATTTCGTCTAATAAACCCAGGCTTTGTCTTTGAAAGCAGACACTTTTGCGCAGAGGAGGAATTTGAGGATTGAAATTCTTAAGGTGCTTTTGGATTCTTGCCAACGACTCCAAAAAACAGTAGCTACGGTGAACTATTTTCAATTATTCGCAATTTTCAAGAACAGGGCTGTATATGTTGAAGTCAGCCTAATTTATAGATGAATTGAGACTTATTTTGCCAACTGTCCAAATTTGTTCAGGAAGTCAATCCGACATGGTCCGATGAGAAGCTTTTCCAAGAAGCTCGACGAATTGTGATTGCACAGATCCAACATATCACGTACAATGAATTCGTGCCAATTATAGTCGGAAAGGAGAACCTGAAAAAGCACGCATTGGATTTGCAAGTGAATGGCTACGATAGCCGTTATGACATGGTAGGTGGATGACAAGTCGTCAAGTCTTAATTTCCAAATTGGCTAGATTTCAGAATATTGACGGATCAACATTGAATGTATTCGCCACTGCTGTCGGCCAATTCTTCCTTACTCTGCTGCCGGACAAGATTACTGTAACAGATTCATTTGGGAACACCAAAAGAGAGGAGCCTCTGGGAAAGGTGGGGTCAAAGAAGAAGACATTATTGAACCATTGTGCCTAATATGTACTCATACAATATGAGTTAAGGTTTTCAACGATCCCTCCTTTATCTATCAACGAAATCGCCTCGACGCCGTGGTGCGATTCCTTACTCGATCGCCCATTATGAAACCTGGGCTACACCTAACTCCCGAGCTGAAGAACACTTTCAGAAGAGGTA